ACTGGCCCCTTGTTCATTCGTCACGAGGTCTAGTCATGCACTGACTGAGGTCTACTGTACTGGGTTTTGCAACGTGGCAACTTGGTGCAATCAAAAATGGGTGCATTTTAGGATTTTGTTCTACCTAGGCGTGTGCACTGAATTTGTGCAATTCTGTCTAAGTTTTAGTCAAATGTAACGAGTTTTATTAGTTAAAGCTCGCCACACATCATAGAATTACTTTACAAAGTAATGCAATTAGGTAAGAAATCGGATTTCTTCAATATTGACCATTGGAAATACCTCGATCTCTTTTTGGAAAAGGGTCACTACATTACAAAAACATCTTTCTTTTTTGGCGAACTATGGGGTATTTGTCAGTTTGAATGCACTCTATTTGAATGATGAGAATATGAAAAACTACTTTGTGTCTAGTCAGCCATTCAGTCTCTGGGTTCGAGGTCTAATGCGTCGTGCAATACGATGCCGTTAATTTCGCCCGTATTTCATGTCATTTTCTGGATTATGTGCAACAAATCCTAACTTTGGGCGTCCTGATTGGCTGTTGTCAGGTATCTCAGAATTCCCCCATTAACTGTAAAGGTATAGTATGGGTGATTTGAAGAGTCTAAATTTTTCACTTGTATCCGACTAAAAAAAGTGGTGTAATGACATGTGTCTTTCCAATCATGTGTTTATGAAACGGTGCCTCCTGAGAGAATTATGGCCAATGAGGAGGAAGCCTATTCGACTTCAAATCATATGGGAATGTTTACAGTTTAAGGCGACGTGACCAATTCCCCGAGTGAGTGGGTGTGTCACCCACTCAATTGGTCAAAACCACTCACTCAGGGAATTTGGTACTATTGACCTAAAACGTCCCTGAGTAAGTGGGTGGGACTAATTGCTTGCTACGATAAGTACATCCTATCGTTAACGTGAAACACGAAGGCATACAACTTTGTACACCGTTAATCGTACCAACGGCGAATGCTACGTACTGTAGGGGAGGCAGTTTTTCACTTGTGGTGTTTTGGGGTTTTGCTCATGGATGTTCAGGTAGAGTTAGACATGGGGCTTCACTCGTGGTTAAATGGTGTGGTTGAGTTTTACTCAGTGGGCATTACTGGGTTGTTGCTTCATAGTCAAGCAGCTCAGTAAGTGTAATATCACTCCATCATAGCTAACGTAAAACAAACAAACAAGCCGTGGGCCCTATATCTTTGCGAAGGCAATCGTGTTAGAGTTTTACTAGCTAATGTTGTCACATCTCATTATCTAAATCCTACATAAGGGCGCAGCGTAGCACCAATAAGCACGTAGCTATCCCCCTGTACTTCTTGCATTGACAACTACAGCAGTGATCAAGAAACCTCGTAATTTACTCATCTACTTGTCAAATATGAAGTTACTGATCAAATATAAAAATATAGAGGTATATTTCCATCGCCCTTGGACTCAAATTCTCGTTGGCTGGAAATGATTCGCGCCATTCACAACGACGGCTCAACCAGTTATCCTCAAGAGTGCCTTCTAACCATTCCTTTACTCATAACTCATAATTCATCACTCTTTCATCGCCTGTGTACCATGCGCCTCAACGTGTCGTCCATGCTCGAGCGCCTCCAGGACCAGACTGCCTCAGACAACCACTACCTCCAGCAAAGCCTGGACGAATACGGCGATGCCGTCCTGGAAGAGGACGAGTTCCACGAAACCAACAACCCCATCATGGACAAAGCCCTTGACGCTGGCGCCGAAGGATTCCGTGTGTTAACAAACTTTACACCGGAGGAATTCGAGGTCATCTGGGGGAATGCTGAATCTGCTATGACATCACGTTGGAATGACGGTCGTGGTCGGAAGTCCGCAACAAGTGCCAAAGACGCGTTCTTTGTTACTTTAATGGTAATGAAACACTACCAAACCTGGATAAAGCACGCTGTCGACTTCGGCCTGAAGGCACCAATCTTGGAGAAACTCGTCGTGAAGGTGGTCGGCGTGTGCTCGAAGCTCCTGTACGCCTGTTTCGTGTCTTTACCCCGCATGACGACGCTGCGCTCCAAGGACAAGGTGTTCACTCACTACCCCTATGCACTGTATGCGACGGACGTCAAGTTCCAACCGGCCCATCGTCCCTCCGGCCGCTTCAGTGAACAAAAGCACTATTTCAGTGGAAAACAAAGCTCTACGGCTTTAAGATAGAAGCTTCCGTCTCACCTGAGGGTTTGCTTGTCGACATGAGTCCTCACGAGCCATGGTCGGTGTCTAACCTCACCATGTTCCGAAGCCGCCTGGACCAACACACTCAAGCGCTCGCGAAGGACGACTACGACGACACCATCAACGACTACGGGCAACTGTTCCGAGAGCATCCTACCTCGTGGGCAGTCCTTGTGGACAAGGGATATATCGGCCTTGCGGCGTCGGCGCGTGCCATACGTCCGAAGAAGTAGCCTGTGAGTGGCACGTTAGACCGATTCGACATGGACAGGAACAAGGAAGTTTCTTCTGACCGTGTCGTTGTCGAAAACTTCTTTGGCCGGGTGTGCTCGCTTTGGAAGGTGTCCTACGCAACATTTGTATGGGGTGAGAAACTCTATGATGACATTCAGCGATTCACGTTTGCCCTTACCAACTTCCACGCAACTTTGATGCCCTTGCGCCTCGAGGACAATGACCACTATCGTGTCGTCATGGCACGCTACAAGAGTATGGCAGCTGAGAACACCTCAAAGAGAGCTGCGAACCAGCGCAGGTACCTACAGCGCCGTGCAGAGCTGTTTGCAATCATTTGAAGTTTGTATGCAATACAAACAACAAGTATAAATATATCTGAACTATTTTATTATGGAAACTGTGTCCTTGCTTGCAATCTACTCAGTTTTCGCTTACTATCGAGTTATTTTGGAAATGACTTGGATATTACTGAATTGCAGACTCATGGGGAAATCACTCAATTTTTTCAGAAATACCAGAACAAGTCGTCAGTAGCTAAAGTATATTGGATATACAAGAGGCTTTCACTGAAACATTTATGCTCTTCGGAAATATGTGACGAACTGGTTTGGTGACCTATTGTATACTACTATACAAGAGGCTTTCACTGCAACATTCATGAAGCGCCTGGCACGAGCTAAGAAACACTTGATCGGCATTGAAAAGATCGTGCGGCCCATGCTCGACTTGGTGCAAGACCAATTGCTCGACCAGGACGAATTCAGCCACGTACGTACCTTCTTTGTTGTCGTGTGTACGATCTTTGAATGGGTGGTGGTGGTTGGTTGTGCATGCTCTTCCGAAATATGTGACTAACTGGTTTGGTGACCTATTGGATGAGATCAGTGCCAACCACTTCAGTATCACGATACTGATTGGTAGAAACCACCATTTTAACCAATACAATTAATCCAAAATCATTATTTTCCTGTTTTCAGCTTATTAGCACCCGGCCCTCGCGGAGGAATGTCTTAAAAATGATAATCCAAACTCAATTAACCAGTACCACATGTCCAGTGTCGCATGTATACATCTCAACATCTTGCGCATATTATGCGGAACATACAAGTTGTCGCACGACTATACAGTAGTATTACTGTTTTCGTTCGGACCAGTGTTGCCTGCTCTTATTGAAGTGGAGGCATATTTCTTGTCCTGGGGATTTAGCATTACCCACAGTACACGCTTACTTCAAAGTATGTGTACGCGGGGTCAGGGTTTCGGGAAGAAAATTTGCATGAACGGTTTTTGGTCTCGGCTGATCGTATCCATCTGTCGCATTCCATCAGTATACAGGAATAATTCCCTCATTAAAACAGTTCCACTGTTTTTTACCCGAAATACTGTTTGAATGAGGGAATTATTACATCCGGATACACCTTTCCCGGTAACCTGGGACTCTGTCCTACCCCCAGGGAGTACATTCGATGCAAAAACTCCGGGGTTAACTGCATCACTTAACGCCTAGTAAGAGGTGAGGTGGTCTGAGCATACAAAGTTCGATATATACCTCATTGAAACAGTATTTCAGGTCAAAACAACAGTGGAACTGATTTACATTGCTACGGTTAGTGGAGAGGCCAGGAAGAAGCAGCAGACACGTGTGCGGATGAAGAACTGAAAGTATATTAGTTCTGACGGGAGAGAAAAACAGCCAATCAGACAACACTATGATTGGCCACGACATCTGTGATGTTTTGTGACAAATGTCTGCGCTGTCTACCTGAGGAAAAGCCTCTAAAATGCACAAAAACCTCCTACACAGCTAGCAGAATGCTGCTACCTGACTGACAGGGCAGTGGGGATGTTCTCTAACAGAAAAGGGTGTTCTGACTCGATTAATGAGGGAATTGTACTGCATACAGGGAGGGATGTACTACTATTAATAGTATGGGAGTGACGAAATATATCGAATCCTTGGAGAACATACGACGCACATGGGGTGATTCAGTTGGGCGTACCCGAAAAAACCTGAACCAATAGAAATGTGGTGTCATTTGCAATCTTATAGTACTCCCAATTGTGGCGAGGGCGAGGTAGAGTCTCCATACTTGATTGGCCAATTCGCGAATTGTTTTCTGTAGCCAATAGAAAACGTATTTGTCTCTGATTGGCTCATCGTATATCAAACCCAACCATCGCAACAGATGTATGGTGGTGGGTGACTCACGCCGTCATCATTCCATCAGAGTGATACGCAATGAATTTTATTTAAATTTGTTGGCATGATATATCACTATGCATACAAAATTCAAATACACATGCAGAGCTGCGCTGACCGAGTTTCTCTGCAAAGCACTGTAATACTAGTACTGTCTTACAGTTAGTACACATACTACAGTAGTATCGCGGAAGGGTAGTCTAGATATGTACTACCGGAAGTTAGCTTTGTATTATGTATCCGTATTAGATTTACACCCTTCCTACTCTTCCTCAACAGCAACACAGGATTGACCGTCCTGTATGGCCTCTTGCAATTCTAAGCTTTTGAGACAGCATATTTTGTAGTGTCTTGGCGAATCAAACGGCTCAAGGACTTGTTGAACTTGTCATGGGACATGCAGAGTTAAAATATTATTGAATTGCATTACTTTTGATTCGATACAAACTCTTTGATATTGTTGAATGCAACGCTTGCGAAAGAATTCCCAGTATACTGTATTTCTGGAGAATATCCGCGACATACTTGGCTATTCCTATAAGTTAACCTTATGATTTTCTACCCTTCTTGTTTGTGATTACACGGCTGTCTACCAAGAAATGATTTACCCTATGACGTTCAACAAAAATCGATCCCCCTTCACCGGAATTGGTGGACGCACAACAATCATTTCATTTTCAATTTCACGGCTGCCATGGCAAGCCACGGCAACAACGAAGCGGCGGACTTGGAGGAACGCGTGTCGTACATCCACTCGAACACGGCCAAAAACGATGATGGTTACGTCGAAGCGAAATCACCCAAGGACCTGGAAGAGGGGGCGCTGACTGAAGGGGGTGCGCTGGACATGTTCTCCCGCGAAGCGTTTGCCCTGTTCATACAGTACGGCGCCATCGGGATCATCTACAACATAATCCCCGCGCTCCGTTATCCCATCTTCAACATCTACCTCAACTTGGAGGGTTACCAAACGTCGTCGTACAAGGTGTTGACTGTGATCGGGTGGTCGTTCAAGGTCTTCTTTGGCCTGTTGTCGGATTGCGTCCCCATCTATGGCTATCGTCGCAAGTCGTGGATTTTGATCGGGTGGACCATCACGATGATCTGTCTGAGTGTGCTGGCATTTTCGCCGTTCGGCGAGCCGTTTTGCAACCGCGAAAAGACCAAGTATTGTGGTACGCCGTTGGAAAAGGTGCCAGAGACCGAGCTGAAGTACTTCAACTTTTCCGCCCCCGACAACGGCACGCTGTTCATCCTTCTGTCCATGTTTATCGCGTTTGGGTACGTCTTAGCTGCGAGTGCGTCGGACGCGATGGTGGTCGAGTACGCCCAGCGAGAACCCGTTGCCATCCGCGGCCGCATCCAGACCGCCATCTACACCGTGCGCTCGATGGCTGGTAGCCTCGCTTACTTGGTGAGTGCGTTCGGGCTGAACGGCCCCAACTACGGCGGGTCGTTTTCGTTTGCGTTGTCGCCGAATGCTCCGTACGGCATTGCCTTGGCGCCGTGTGTTCTGGTGGTGCTCTCGACGATATTTGTTCTCGTGGAGAAGAAGTCTGAGGCTGTGTCCTTCCCCCTATGGTGGGGCAGGTTTTGGGAATCTCTCAAGAGTCGCGTGTTGTGGCAAGTTTGTTTGTTCCGATTCCTCAGCAACGTGTTCAATGGCGTCTACACCACTGCGTCGTTACCCATTCAGACGTACTGGGCGGGGGTCGAACCTCTCAACGAAGCCCTCTCGGACATCATTGGTAATTTGCTTTTTGCTGCTGTTTTGGTGATTGTGGGCAAATGGGGGCTTAACTGGAATTGGCGCTGGACCATCGCCGCCGGTACCCTCGCGATGAACGCCATCGACGCCTTTGTCGTGTTCTTGACCATCTGGGACGTTGTGCGCAACCAGTGGTTCTTCAATGGAGTGGCGTTGGCTGAGCAATTTCCCTTTGGCATTCGCTTTATCGTGTCCTCATACGTGGCTGTGGAAATCGCCGACAAGGGCAATGAAGGCGCCACCTACGGCCTGATCACCACTGTTAGCAACCTCGCGGGACCCTTTGCCAGCATCATTTACAAGTACGTCAACTCGTACTTCAAAGTACGTCAGAATGACATCAAGTCCGACACGCTCGAGGTGCGATGGGACGTCACGTACGTGTACCTTATTTCGTACGGGTCCAAGATCGCGTCGTTGTTTTGGCTGTTCTTGCTGCCTCCCCAAAAGGCAGAAGCGAAGGCCCTGAAGGCGCGCGGTGGCAAGAGCAAAGTGGCGGGGTTCATTCTCGTGTCCATGTTTTTCATCTGCGTGTCGTTCTCCGTGTCCAGCAACGTCATGTCCATCTTCCCCTCCACCAAGTGCTACCGTGTCGCAGGTGGCAACGGAGTGTTGGACCCCAACACGGGCAAGTGTCCCCTCAAGTAGAAAACGATGTCTTGCATTTTGAAGTAGCGTATAATGAACATTGCATATCTCGTGTTGTCCTGGCGGTTCCAATATTGATCCACAAATGAGGCGATCGACATCTAAGGTTTGCGTTACGGTATCACGTGGCCACGTACTGGGCGTGGGACCGCCATCTACGTCGTGCGCTCGCTCGCTGGCATCCTCGCGTAATGGTGATGCGTTCTCGCTGGGTATAACAGACCAGCATCGAGTCCGACGCGCAGGCGGCGATGACGTACCCGAACGAAGCAAACATGGATAGCACGATGAACAGCGTGCTTTGGTTGGGGGGGGCGTCCAGGTTGAAGTGATGGAGGTCTGCCGTCGGGACCATTTCTAGCGGCGTGCCACAATACTTAGGCTTTTCGCGGTTGAAGAACAGCTCGCCAACGACGAAACGTCATGATAATCAGATAGATCATCGTGATGAGCCATCCGCTCAACATCTCAACATCCATGGCTTGTGCTGGCAGCTGAAGATGGGGTTTGCCTTTGGGGACGCAGCAAAAACAACCTACCCTGACGATGCCAACTTGCACGCGTACACGAAAATGTACACTTACGTGACGTCATCCCCGCGCGTCGGTGGTTTCTGTCGCTCTTGAGGTCGTTCTGGGACACCTTGAAGAACCAGGCGACCTACTTCTAGTCAATACCTTCAAACGGGCTTGCGATGTCGTTGATCGTCGTGATCAGGCCGTACGCGGCGCCGCCACTTCCACCGTCACATACGTGGCCAGCGGGGTCGTTGTCGGCCAGCGCCATGCCTTTATAGTGGTGCCATTGGCTGCGCACGATGTCCCTGCGTCGTCTTCAAGCAATACTTGACTTCGAAAGACGACAAGCTTGTCGACGAGAATCACGTCAGTGGTGCCCACAGCGACTGTTCACCGCTCATTTCACTACAGCTCCCATCATGCCATCATGACCAGAATTCCAGAGTAACAACTCATTGTCTAGCATCTTGAGCAACCTGTTACATCGGGATGATCAAGTTGCCCAAGATGCTAGCCATCGAGTTGTTGAGGGGTTCGCCTTCTGGATGCGGCCACGGATGGCAACGGGTTCTCGCTGGGCGTACTCGACCATCATCGCGTCCGACGCACTAGCAGCTAAGACGTACCCAAAAGCGATAAACATGAACAGAAGGATGAACAGCGTGCCGTTGTCGGCGGCGGAAAAGTTGAAGTACTACAGCTCGGGCTCTGGCACCTTTTCCAACGGCGTACCACAATACTTGGTCTTTTCGCGGTTGCAAAACGGCCCGCCGAACGGCGAAAACGCCAGCACACTCAAAATGATCATTTTGATGGTCCACCCGATCAAAATCCACGACTTGCGACGATAGCCGTAGATGGGGACGCAATCCGACAACAGGCCAAAGAGGACCTTGAACGACCACCCAATCACAATCAACACCTTGTACGGCGACATTTGGTAACCCTTACAGATGTACTGGGCCATGTTCAAGGCGAACAGATTAATACTCCGTGAGGAGAAGAATGCCCCATTTCCGTAAATTGCGCCGCCTCGGAACACTTGGCTGATTCTAATGATAACGTTATGTCGAAAATTGAAGTATTTTTAAATTTCGACATAGCACTAAAACCTGACAAATTTTGAGGAGATTGGATTGGCAGTCTTGACAAACTGTGAGTAGTGATTTGCTGAACGACAAAATTCTTCGGTTGTGGTTTGTGATTGGACGACCCAGTTGTCAGCTGAGAACATAAAATAAACATTGAACATGTACAGCCTATGATTGGACAATTTTGGAAAGCTTGTCTAAAAATACAAGACGACGTTTCATATTGCAGAGAACAAATCTTCATTCGTCATCATGAGCGCAACCACAGTTCCGTCGAAGGCAACCAACCAGGGTTCATTCCGCTCTAAATCCACGCTTACAAAGCATATCAAAAACAGTTTGTTGAGTTCTGCAAGAATATGCAAGCCATTGACCCCTCCACAGCTGGTTCAAGCGCAATGCACGGACTTTTTTCACCACCTCTACAGTCAAGGACGGACTGCACGTACTGTGGACTCCGCCAAAACAGCCCTGGTGGCGTACTTTGCAGACCTCAAAAAGGAGCCCAATCCGGCCAGAGACGTTGAATCAAAGCAGTATGTTGTCGGTCTGCACAAGTACAACAAAAAAAACATCGACGACGAGAAGAAAGCCCACCCACTCTCCGTTTACGAGCTGTCATGTTTGGTCAACGGACTTTCGACGTGCCATGTCTTTCTGGGATCCCTCTACCGCTTCCTCCTCTGCGCCAGCTACCTGGGCTGTTTTCGCATCAGCGAAATGCTGAATCTCACGTGAGACGATGTAGCACTCCAGCAGGATGGAGACAGTCAGTACGTTGCGATTCGACTTCGGTGGTACAAGCAGGCTAGCGTGCAGAGTGAATGTCAAGTCTACCACCTTGTCGACGAGAAGTCGTATCCCTGCCTACGTGTGTGTGGACATTTCAGCGACTACCATGGCCTCGTTAGGCGTGCGAGCCCCAACTTGGCTTCCAAGGCCTTTGTGTTCCCTGCCTATGTCATGGAGTCAACAGGGACCCCAAGGCTCAACTGGTACAGAAGCCTTGAGCAAAATCATGTTCGCCTCTTCACCAAGGACGCGGTTCAAATGTGTCCCGAGCTCCCTACAGGTAATATGTATTGTCAGTATTTTCTAAATATTAATTGTGAATTTATTCTTCTGAGAAATTTTTTAAGTAGCGAATACATGTTATCTTCGATTGTTGCATTTATGCATGGTAGAATTAATCTGTATTAACGCCCTTCGCACACCCTCAGTGCTCACTCGTACACATACACCCGTTGCGAGACCCCAACAGCAAACGACACTCGACAGCTTTGTCACATATGCAGTTGTCCCTACCGCTCGGTCAGCCAAGGATGCATGGAATCAATGGTTTACCGGTGACGTTCGGGTCGGGTTGTTTCAACCCCTGCGGTCATTCAGCAAGCAAATGATCCGGGCCGATCGACGAAAGTACTCCGAGCGCTTGACGTTGTCGTTGGCCTTCTCAAAGTATGCAAGTTATGAGATGTTTGAGGCATTGTCATGGACGACGAATTATATCTACATAACGTTATCATTAGAGTCAAAGCCATAAAAAATAAAAATTTCATCTGATAAGGCCCGTTTCGGAGTAACGTTAACCTATTTCTGGAGCAAGAACCAAGCAGATTGGTTTCCGTCTCCGCGGAGCAAAATGGAGTATTTTGACAACGCCCTGTATGAATTCGTGGACATGCCGCATGGCCTGAGTGATTTTGATGAGGATGGGGAGCCGCGGGACATGTTCAAATTGAATCATACCTACGAAGACCAAGGCCAACAAACCAAACGCCGGAGTAAAGTGGAGTATTAGTGAGTTAAATTTAGTCGACGGGAACGTTACACGGATCAATCACTACATACACCATCCAAGCCCTACAACCATCAGGCCCTACTTTTCCGGATCATTATAGTACCCCAACCATGACAGGATGTACTGTAATGAATGTCAGGAGGTTTCAAATGTATGTAGCAGTTAGTAGTATTTTGTGGGTCTTACTTAGCCTATCTGTCGTAGTGTTTAATGCGTACTACGGTAGTATGGTAGGGGGATATGTGATGTTACATGGACTCACTCTTCACACACAGCTCGTACGGCACTTGGGTAGCGTCCATGTCGCTTTGAAAGTTGGCCGTCGTTGGTGTCGGAATGTCGTCGACGACGACGGATATTGCTGTTGGGGCGACGAGCTGGTGCAGATCGAGGCGGCGTTCGGCCAACACGGCGGGGTTCTCTGCAATGTGCATGGGGTACAACGTCGCTTGGAACTCGAGGCGCGGGATGCGCAGGCAGCGCACATGCACATCGTTGGGTACGTGCACAGTTACGTCACTTTCAAACGACCCGTCGGGGGCGATCAGACTGTTGGCCCCAAATACACTCCACAGTCCTGCCATAGTGGGCACCGCTACAGTACACACAACCACATCTATCAATGTAGCTCGACGAGTAAACTGAAATACACTGTCGTTCCTATACATATGTAATATCGCTGTGGTACGTCATAGTACTAGTTAGTTTGTGGTCATATTCTAGTAGATAGTTATATTGTCATGTCGATTCGAAATTGGAGGGGGCGCTCAATGGAATGAGCAGCACCAAATCGGCAGACAATCGACCAATCAAAACCCACAACAAGAATCAAGTGGCCAATCAAATCCACTCTTCGACCAATTCAACATCGAATCAGTGTGTGACTGAAATTAGTGTGAACGATCTTTGCATACAAAAATCAGTACGAAGACTACTCGATTGATAGATTTGGCGAATCAGCACAAAAGTCCTAAAAGGACAATATATAGGTCGGAGAGGACAACCAACACTCGGTGAAAACGCTTTCTTTGCCTTCAACAACAATCACATGCCATTCAAACACAACTCCAGGACACGTTACGTTTCTTCATCATTCCTCTTTCGATGCCAAAACATATACGACGATAGCCAAGGCCACAGCTTGTTGCACGCATGAAAACAAAGTTCTTGTGGTCGTCATACAGTATCTATATATACAAATGTACCGTTGCCAGATGTCGACGACGAGACCAAGACATGCCCATGCAGCACGACCAAACAAAATGTGGCCACATTCCCATGAATAAATAGCTTTGGGGGCGGCCCTTCGACATTGTTCCCATCAAACTCGACAATGTGGCTCTTGGCCAAGATGGCGGCGACGCGAGTCGCGTCCAGTGCCACCCCTAGAAATCCTATGAGTCCCAACATTTCATGGTAGACGGATACATGGTGTGTGCCATCATGACCTTGAAAGTCCACGGTGGTAAACACGGGCTCGTTCATGACCAAGTGTTTCGCCAAGGCTTCCGCCTGTGATAAACCCGTATATATATATAGTATATCCTCCAGTGGAGAATTAAACGAGGTAGACGGACGACCTCTGGTTTGGCGAGGAATTTGGCCGACTCGCTGCCTTCCAGCACATGCGATACGCCCGTGTCGTAGCTACGGTTGCTCAGTCGGTTCTTCCGATGGGTTTCGGCGTCTACAACGGTCGTGTGTGCGAACGTTCGTTAGCAACTCAAATCAATGATATATATTGTCAAGTCAATTCGAAATTGGAGAGTTTGGGTGCTCTGCAGCACACCAAATCGGCAGACAATCGATCGACCAATCAAAACCCAGAACATGAATCAAGTGACCAATCAAATCAACTCTTGGACCATTTGAACATTGAATTCGTGTGTGAATGAAATAAGTGTGATATTGGACGATTTTACGTACAAACATCAGTACAAAGTATCGATCGACGGATTTGGCGAATCAGCCCAAATGTCCAAATGTTGGGGGGTAAAAGGACAATATATATATATATACATCATGACCCACCAATGGCATCGCTCTCGTCAAAGATTTCAGCTTGCAAGATCTCTTCCACAATGTCTTCCAGTGTTACCACGCCCTTGGTTTGGTAGTACGGGTCGCCCTAATACATAGCATCCCACACCAATCGTCATGTCGTCAGATCCCACCTTCGTCCTCTCGTACGACTGTATGATAATAAACATATATTTTTTGATTTTGCATCAAATCTCCCCAATTCTCCACAATGCGGCAAACCGATTGCAAACCTTGCCGCGACACTAATTTCATGGGCTTTCCCCATTCTGGAAAGTAAAACGAAATAGTATGTAGCCAATCAGCGGCAAGAATTTTCAGATTGACCAATCGAAGTAGTTGATTCGTGATCAGTGTAACTATACTCTATCTGTACAGTACACCTCTGTTGTTGATATGATATACTAAATCAATAACAATTCCAAACGAGTACTGCATTCATACATTAGTTACTACCACACAGTACATCAACAAACACAAGGACAAAGTCTTCAAACAAGTATGATGACATCCATACTCAATTCGTAGTACCGGTCCGGCGTTGTTGACATCGTGCACCAGCGCCAAGTGTGTGCGGCCCATCTTAAACGCCTGGAGGACGTCGCCGAGCGTCGAGTCTGGCCACACCCGGTGCACCCCCCGACCAAACACATGCACAAAGTGAAGCAACGTGGTTTCTTCAGTCGGATCTGCGAAGATGAGGTCCTTGACAAAGATGATGCCCACGATGTCGTTGATGTGGTTGCCCCACACTGGGATGCGACTGAACCCGCGGTGGTAAATCTCCCGAATGGTCGCCAGGTTTAGCTTGGTCGACCCGGGGAGCGTGTACACAGACTCGATGGGCGTCATGACGCTGGACACGGGTTTCGTCTTGAAGTGCATCGCGCCCTTCATGATGTCCGTCTCGTCCGCGTCCAACATGTTGTGCTTGACGTAGATTTCAAGCATCTTTCCCAACTACGACACCGTCGTGAGTTGCTTGTGAGTTGCTGTGCCACGACGAACCTCGCGTTTGTTGAACACGGTGCCGATTTCGTGGCCGAGCATATAGTCCAACGTCATCGCGATGGGTTTGGTGATGATATACATGAGGTAAATGAAGAACCACACGATCGGCAACGACTTGGCCCCAATCGCTAGACCAAACGATAGAGACATCAATAATTGCTGAGCAACGGAAAAAGCAACGACGTACACAAAGCGTGCCGGGAGCACAAGGCTTGAGGAATCAACTCGCCAAACACGACCAGCACAAACGTTGTGATCAAGAACCCACCGATACCTACACTCGACAGGACAAACAACATTGGCACTCGGCCGAGGCAACATCATCTCCAAAGGATAACGCATCTACCTGACGTCATGTCGGCCATAACAATCGCAAGGATCGAGTTCACGGCCACGTTCCCAAACAAAAGCGTCGAGAGCAACAAGTGACCGTCGTTACGGACCTTCTGGATCTTCCTCGCGTTCTTCGCGTTTGTCTTCTCCTCCTCTGTCGCGTGCGCGTCTTCACCGGCTTCGATTACAATCTGCAGCCCATTCTTATCCAACGCCATGAGACCCAGCGTGAGCCCAGAGAAGATGGCCGCGAGGCACACGAGCAGGACGACGGCACACAGCCGCAGAACCCATTCTTCCGTATCCCATTCTGCCGTGCCCTCACCGCTACCGCCGCCGCTACCACCATTCAAACGCCGTAGATCCGCCATGAATTCAAAACTACCTTATCGGAACGTGGCACTTCAAGATTAAGATCTCACATGGGTGAATATGATCACTTTGCGGACACGTTCGGACAATTTCAGTCGGACATACTTGGCATTTGTATTGGACTTAAGGGGAACATATTTTGATGAAAGTGTCCGAACGGCGGTGCCTTGGCGAGGAGTGAGCCCCAATCGTGCACTTCACCGAATGTCCAATCGATTCCTCTTGTCGGGAAAAGCGGCAGGTAGGCCGCAGGCCGTGCCGCTACCCGGACAAGGCCTGTGGTACAACTATTCGCATTTAATGCGTAAATTCGGTTAAGTGCGTGTCCGAAGCACATATCCAGCAAATATTTGTCCGAGTCGTTATGGTATGGTACTGTGAATACATAGAATGTCGAAACGACTTGCGAATATCAAATGATTTAATGATCGGTAGCCTACATCTTTGTATGTGTTAAAACAATTTTGAATTTAAAGTGCATCAATACAACTCAGACATTTAAAATTACCATTTCAAATACTCATGGAGGTGAATTTCAAGGTATTCGTGCTTTGACGTGAAGTGGCAATAAATCGACCTCTCCATTTGATTCGCCACAAATACCTTAATTCAGCCAATCAAACAGTATTTCCCTGACTCTGGGAATGAACAGCAGGAACTGAAAGTCGCGGCGACACGACAGCGTGATCGCCGACACAGTTTACCCCCCGCTTCAGTACCTATGGTTTCTCCGGTTGGACCTGTACCGGTTTGGAACGCATCGGCCAATGACTAACAGTTGTCTCTAATTGGACAGAAATATCCAATCACCATGCGTTAATTATTTTCATCCAATGAATCCTGTGATAGATTTAGTTAGGCCACTGCGCATGCCTGAATACTGTAGGTTTCAAGGTACCTCTTGGAGCTGTACCGGTTGTGATCGTCTATAGTCTCAGGTTCTCTTGCAAACATGTACTATGTCTCATGTTTTCATGAAACATTTACATGTTAGTTACTCAGTCAACTGGTACATAAGCTCACAGATAAGCAAGTCTGAGGATAACACAGTCGCGATAAGCAGACGGGAGGCAACAACAATCAAGTACTAGAACGGTTGCATTCGGGGTCCATGTGCGCATGTGATTGCTCTCGATAGGAGTGCGCTGTGGCGTAGTTTCCTTGAACCTAACGATATCGGTGATGGTGGCCGGTATTGGTGATGGTTCCATCGGCATTCGCTTCAATGGGCAAGTTACGAATGCACCTTCTCGTGCTCAACGGAACCTCTATATATCTATAAACATCTATAAACCGCCCCTCTGTTCGATTCAACCAATCGAACATGGAAAATTCCACAATAGGTAATGTAAGCTTACTATTATTAATACAGTAAGCTTAATAGTATTGTGGATTTGGTCCAAATTTGGAGCTTCACGCCGATTCTCGAAATCACAAGCAATTGGCAGACGGGTGGAATAATATAGCATTTAGTTAACAATAGTAAATTCAACTGTAAATACAATTCGACATTTTCAAATCACAGCTATAAAGGACATGTTTCCTCTTGCGTACGTGGCGTCGGAGCATGCCTCGAAGAACACCATCGCACATGCGCTCTATGCGTAGTACCACATTGGAATGACGATTGCCACGTGTTCAACAAGTCAGCATCAACGATTTCAAATTGGATCGATCGGTTTGAGACGCGTGGGCATCTCGACCGCAACAGCTAGGCAAAAGCTGTCTTTACAGAGGGGGTAGAAACCGCGGAACATATGATGCTTTTGGACTCATATGGGTTGAGCAGTGTGCGACAATGTGCGCGCGAATCGAGCTCCATCGGTCGCCTTCGAACACATACGGATGCAAACGTTTTCCGTTGTGGTCACGAGCACATACGGTTTCCTTCACCAAGATCTCCGCGCGCAACTTGCTAGGGACGGCGACCTGAGGGGAGCGTCGAGTGTTGTAGTGGTGTGCAGGCGAGTAGGCGTACTGTCGTTTCGAAAATGACGATTTTGATTGGTTCATGAAATTCAGAATCCTATGACTTGATTGGTCGATCGATTTTCTGCCGATTTGGTGCAACTATTACTGTATTAATAGCACTCCATACATAACTGACAAATTGGATAACCGACAATTTTTTGAATTTTGATTGGTCAGATATTTTATAGGCAATCTGATTGGGCGATGTAGTTGTCGGTTGAGCAACATACAGTACCACTCACATATAACATATACAGCTTGTATTGGCTGAAAACACAGTCGTATCGACATCAGTACTCCGGAATACATGACCTCGACTCAGCATCCCAAGAACAGAAATACTTAAGTGGAGCAGTGCTCGACAAACAAAGTGACGAGTGTTGACTAGTATGAGTAAGAGAAGTAGCTGCTGTGCTTGGTGTATGGATAATGTACATCCATAAACAACGTCATTAGACAGGCCGCACAATCTTCCACCGACCCACACGGCATGTTCGTCTCTGTGAATCCGTAGGAACGCGGTGTTGCCAGGGCCACTGGACTGGGGCACGAAGCAGTTTGTCAGTTCCGGTGGTTGCGTTAAACAACCTCTTCAGTAACAACTTCACTGACACACCAAGTCGCAAATCGGAGTTATGATGGACAGTACATACGACATATTTATCGACCTTGCTAGTGAAACTATACATCACTCGGGGCTATTCATCGCTGATCCGACACCACTTAGGCTCGCCAACCTGTCGTCCCCGACACCGTGATCACGTTAATGTACTGTGCAGTCACCAGGCGAAATGGCCGTGCCACAGTTGGGACGTGTGCCGATGGTAAACTCACGAATGATCAGTACACTGCAGCACACTGATGTTGGTGTGGCCACTAAACCGAGGGGTCGCGTCACTAACTCGAAATTGGTGACGCGACCCAAGAGCACGTCGATCACGCCACGCTCTTTTGTCCAACTTACCGCGTATCTTCATCATGGTGTCTATAACTGTACCCTTTCTAGATTCCTCATTGGAAATGCAAGCGATTGCAACATCGCTGGAGGTGACAGGGTTTCTGTCCCCATGCCTCCATGGGACACAGCAAGAACTGTGATCAGGCCGCAAACTCAACTTTAGGGTGCGAATCCATGTTGCAGCCTCTGCACGCATTACACGTGGCACCCAGAGCCACGTCGTGTGCCACGTGTATTGCGTGCAGAGGCTGCTCCTCACGGTTCATGTCCTCACCTCGTCAGAGACTTGTATAAAAACCAACATACGACATTTGGTCTTTGTATTGAAAATGAAGAGTCATCTACCAATGAAAGGTTCGAAGTATTGAAATTTTAGCCAATAAGACTAATGTCGGATAGAATTGTCGTATTCGCCGAGTTATCCTATCCATACATAACAATCACCAAGGCTAAAAGCCTCTAAAAGAGACTTTTAGCAAGTGCGAAATGTGAGTAGTTTACATACTTTGTACTTCGATTTTGGCGATGTCTGAAGTTGGAAGTTCAAGGAATTCAGATTTAGCAAGTCTGAAAAGTAAATCCCGTCATATCAATCCAAGACCATCCACTATACCATCTCCTGTTCTTAGTCTGTGCCTACCAGCATGACTTCAGCGAGAAACACATGAGGACATGGTGAGTGTGGATTTGTACATTATGTGCAAAGTTATAGAACGATTGTCATCGAACGCTATGCAAAATAGGGACTCAGTAGCCCTAGTGCCCTCTTGAGTCAAGATCCTCCCTCTGTTTGACCGTCAATATCGTGGCGGTCAAACAGAAGTTTTCGTAACCAGGATTGAGCTGGCCGGGCGTCGTCCATGGCTTGCATAGGGTGATCAGGCGGTAGCCCTCGGCGGCTTGGTGCACGGTAGCGGGGAGTACACTTTGATGTACTGCCCTGATCTACAACTCCAGACAAGCGTCCTGCATCGCTGCACATACCCGAGCTTGTGCACTATGCTAACAGTAGATAGTCTTAACAAGCAACCCTCGATAGAGCAAATTGATTGGCTCGGAAAGTAGTCAGATGTCTACGGACTAGTGTGATGACGTCCTTACTTTTCAGACTTGTTTCCGAGCAAAGTGGGGGGGAATAGCTCATTGTCAATGGAGGGAGGTTTATTAGAATTTTAACCGGATATTATTCCTATATTAATATTGCCTTCTCGCGTTATCCGGCTGATTGGGCTCACTCGGGGGGGTGTTGGTTGTGTTTACAGTGTTTTCACGATCCGGTTGTTTAACCGAACCGAGGGTCCTCTTCATCCGGATATCCCTTCTTTTCAGGTGGCGCGTGACGGTTTTTGAATTCGTCGAAAAGAATGGCGGGACCCGGATTCGAACCGGGGACCTTTGGGTTAAAAGACTGACGCTCTACCAACTGAGCTAATGCGACACCTTGCTAATGCGACACCTTGTCGCATAAAAGACTGACGCTCTTTTAACCCAAAGGTCCCCGGTTCGAGTCCGGGTCCCGCCATTCTTTTCGACGAATTCAAAAACCGTCACGCGACACCTGAAATGAAGGGATATCCGGATGAAGAGGACCCGCGGTTCGGTTAAATAACCGGATCGTGAAAAACACTGAAAACACAACCAACCCTCCCCGAGTGATCCCAAT